AGTCTGGAGCAATGTATTTAAGTTATAGTTCTGCTTGCTGGCTGTTTGGACAAATCACCTAAGCCTTAGTTTTCTCACTTGAAAATGGGAATACTAATAGTACTTACCTTATAGAGTTTCTGTGAGGGTTAACAGAGTATACCTACGTAAGGTATTAGGAACTGTGCTTGACAGAAAATAAGGTCTACAGGAAATGTAGTTATTATTGTAATTATTATTTTTATTTTTATTATCACACACATGTAACACTTTAGAGAGTTCTAGGCATATAGTTAGCCACCAAGAAGTATTGTTTATTTTTGGTTTTATACAAAAATTATAAAAGGTACATAAAACTACTTTATAGCAGGGTATAGTTCAAAGATCATGTTAGACAGAAATTTAAAGGTTGTGGTATCATTATGTTGGCAGACTGTATTATTTAGGGAGTATTATAACATCACTGTAGTCTGATCCTTAGCCTTATAAGTGTAATCCTAATGATGACAACATTAGACTTGGAAATGATGACTCACACTAACCCATCTCAAAAGAGACTGATACATAAACTAAAGTTTTAGTGTATTAATTTAAAATGAAAGCTATCTCTGTCATGCCTTCTAAAAATTCTTGTTTTAGTATTACCAGTGTATTCTCCCTTTATAGATACTTCTAGTTAGGAGACTAAATTATGGTTAAGAAGCTATTTGGTACACTTGGACTAAGGCAGGGTGAGCATTCCCCAGTTAGAGGAAGAGGCACACGTCCTCACTCTAAGGATGGCCTTGCAGGGCAGATACGGCACCGGAACAATGATCGGTGGGCATTGGTGATAGTTTGTCTCGTTTCCTTCATTTTCCTGGGGGACCTTGTAGTCACACAGGCCAGTGCTCCAGTGCCATCTCTATCATTTAGCAGGTGTGTTATCTTGGACAGATTTCTTAAATTCTCTGGGCCTCAGTTTCTTATCTACAAATTGAAATAGAAGCCTGCCTATTAGGAGTCTTGTGATGATTAAATCATATTATTTAAGGCATTTTTATAGCTCCTAAAATGTAGAATATGCTCAATAAATGATAGCTATTATACTTTTATCAAGAAAGCAGATTATCTCTTGATGCATTTTGGACTATTACATGTTAATTTTATAACTTCACTCTTTAGTTCCTGTCTCTAACCTTTATGCTTTTACAATTACAGATGTTTCTCATTTGGTATTGGAGAAGGTGCCTCCACCAGCCTCATAAAAGGCATTGCCCTGGCCTCAAGGGGCACTTCAGAATTTATCACAGGCAAGGACAGGATGCAGTCCAAGGTGAGAGAAGGGCTGTGTGTCCAGAGGTAACACTTCAGACAATATGTGGAACAGGGTGGGGCACACTGCACAAGGCCAAGGGGCAGCAGCTTGCCTCTGGGATGCGTTTTTTTGTATCCCCGAGGCCTTGTGCTATATACCTAGTGGAAGAACTTTTGGCCTCATGTAAAAGGGGGCCCCTGTACTACCTGCAGAAATGGCATCTGATCCATATGTAACTGAAAGCCCAGAAACGAGATGCTGAAAGAGATTGGGACCTGTGTATTGAAGACCAGAGACAGAGAAACTAAGAGCTTCAGCTGTCATGATTGTGGTTCTAGGTCTGTGTTTTAGGACCTCTTTGGTCCTATGTCCAGGAGAAGGAAAAATTGTGATATGTCTAAGAGATTGGAAGAAGTGGTAAATTGGTGATTCCATTTGATCAGTCTGCAGAGGAGAAGACATCTCGTTACATTTCTAAGCTCCTATTTTCCACTTGATGCTGTCTCTTGTCTAATCCCTGTCTCCAGGGGCCTTGTTTCTCAAACATTTTCTTCATTCACATTGATGTTATTAAATCTTTCAGCTTTATTAGTAAGACAAGAAAAATAATGCCCATCTCCTAGTACAGTATTAAGAAGTAGGCATGCCGTATGGTATACACCATAGCACCTTGTATGTAATACGTACTCAGTTAATAGTAGCTCTCATTGTCAGTATTATTTGTTTCTGCTTGTTCTGTTCCCTTTCTTCCACCAGGTTCTTAGGACCCTGAAACATTCCCTGCAGCCCATGGTAGAGGATGTCTCTGTGAGCTGGGATTTGCCTCCTGGTCTATCTGCTAAAATGCTTTCCCCAGAACCAACTGTCATCTTTAAGGGTCAGAGGTTAATCATCTATGCCCAACTGACTGGGGCAATGCCAGTGAGTTCCCATTCTTTTTACTTCCTCTAGTTGGAATAGCTACCATACTGTACTGACAATTTCTTTAAAGCTGGTGGGTGGATTTGGATGTCAGGAAGAGATTGCACTTGTAGGCAGAGCCAGCCTATGCTCTTCCTCATCATCTGGGGCTCTGGTTTCCTGCGCTACCTGATTCTTAGTCACAATTTTAATGTATCATGTTGGGAAACTGCCCCTGTTCTAATCCTTTTCTTGGTGATCTCCTCCTTCCATCACTTCTGCTCTTCTCTAATTTGTAGCCAGCAGAGACAACAGGAAAAGTATGCCTCAAGTATGCATTCCAGGGCAAGAGTTTTGAGGATAAGGTGACATTTTCTCTACAACCCAAGCCTGATGCCAAGTGAGAATTCTGTTTTCCTTTGCTATTTTCTTCCATCCCACCCTTCCTTCCTTCCTCTCTTCTCTCTGTTCCTCTCTATATCTCTCTCTTTCTGTTTCCCCCCTCCCCCGTTCTGTCATCCTTGGTGGTTGGATTTGGGATCAATTGTTTCCCTACAGTCACTTTTTATTTCTAAGCCACCCAAGTCTTATCTCTCCCCTTATCTTACTTTTTCTTCCCTCTGTTATTCCTAACTTTTAAGAGCTCAGAGCAACTGGCATGTGGGTGGTTTTCCCTTAGGTTCAGGAAATTTTTTTTTCTTTCAGCCTCACCATTCACCGCCTTGCTGCCAAGTCCTTTATCCAAACCAAGGACATGGGCCTCATGGAGACTCCAGCAAGTTGTAAAAGTGAAATATTGAACATCAGCCTTGAGTCTGGAGTCATAAGCTCCTTCACAGCTTTCATTGCTATCAACAAGGAGCTCAACAAGCCAGTTCAGGGGCCCTTGACTTACATGGACATTCCAAGGACATTTCTGTTGGGAAGACTCCGAGGAGGTGGTGAGTTTTATCTCATCCAAACTCAGATGGAATAAAGGGTCCTGAATACCTGAGTACATTATTTAAAGGAAAAGGTGGTGAAACATTCTTAACTTGCCTTGTTTTTCTTGTACTTCCACGTATAGGATTTCTGGCTAGTGTTAAACTTTTCTGTCCTAGGGAACTACAATGTATCCCATTGGCAAGTAGATTTTAAATAATCCAAGAGAAAAACCCAAACAGTAAAACAGAAAGTACACATAAATATTGAGTAATCAAACTCTCAAAATCTGAAGTGGATTTATCTTCTTTTTTTTTTAAAGCAGCATTATTGAGATATAATTCACATATCATATAATTCACCCATTTAAAGTACACAATCCAGTGGATTTTAGCATGTTGTGCAACCATCACCACAATCGGTACAATTTTAGAGCATTTTCATCACCTAAGAGAGAAAGTCCATTACCGTTAACAATCATTTTCAATTTCTCTTCCTGACCACCACCTATCCTTTCCTGCACCCCATCCCCCTCCCTCTGTCCTGGGTAATCACTTACCTGCTTTATGTCTCTCTATATTTGCCTATTCTATCTGTCTATATTTGGCTATTCTGGACATTTTATCCTTCCATCTACCTGTATTTGTATATCCTTAGACCAAAATCTTCCCATTCCCCCACTCCCTAATTACCAAGCCTCTGGTAACCACCATTCTACTGTCCTTCCATGAGATCAGCTTTTTTAGATTTCACGGATAAATGAGATCATGCAGTGTTTGTCTTTCTGTGCCTGGCTTATTTCATTTAACATAGTATTCTCCAGGTTCATCCATATGGTCTCAAATGACAGGATTTCATTGTGTTTAATGGCTGAATAGTGGTCCATTTTGTATATATTCCACATGTTTGATATCCATTTATTTAGTGATGGATACCTAGGTTGATTCCAGGTCTTGGCTATTATGAATAGGCAGCATATG